TGCAACCCAAGTGAGGGTTAGATGAGTTTCGAGATGGAAGGCGAGGCTTTGCCTCCAACTGAGGGGTCGTTTTTTTTTTGAATCCTACTAATGGGGATTATAGTACATTGGTGTGTATACTAGTGAGCCCCGCTGTTTTGGGAAGTATTCATGTAGCACGAAGTGCAGCAATCTTCTGGCATTGGGTTTGGGAGTTCGTATGACATACCTTTCTGATCTGGTGTGGGAACTTTGGCAGCCAAACTCATAAGTTTTGAGGAGAACTTATTCGGAGAATTTGAGCTCGTCTGTTTTTGGCTTGAGGTTTGGTGCTCTGTGGGCGCCGGGAACTTTTATGAAGGGGTCTTAATGCAGTTGCTTGAAGCAGCCGGATTCCTGACCTTTGCGCTTGAAGACAATAAATCTCTGTTCCGTCGCTCAACGCTCTCAGCAGAAGTTGCAAGTCCAGAAATGGGTACCCAAGCCTTCAGAACATGTTAAGGAAATTCTGCAAAGGACCAGATGACAGTGAAAGCCGCTCGCCATGTTAATACAAGCCCTGGACCCCCCAAGTGATGTATTATTACTATTACCTTTATTACTTACCATTCGTATTATTACTATTCTTATAAGTATTCGTATTCCTACCTCTTATTCTTTTTCCGGTTAGTACTGATAGGGAGCCTTCCCGAACCCAAAGCCACGGAAGCGCTTTGAAACCCAGATGGCAGTCCTTGTGCAGCCACCGAACAACTATGCCAGAAACACATTCTGAACTTTCGTGCTCTGCATTGCCCGAGAACCTTACGCGCTACGCCCAAAAGCACCCTAAACCCTAAACCCTAAATCCTAAACCCTAAGCCCTAAACCCCTAAACCTTAAACCCTAAACCCCTAAACCCCGAAACCCTAAACCCACAAGCCCATATAAACTTACCATTACTTTGGGTTTCCAATTTCCAAAAACATCCCGAACCCCATCAAAAGGAGCTCTACGATGATTACCTGCCCGTCCTGGAGGCCCTGGGCCAGCCAAAATACTTCGGAGCCGACGCCGGGCGGGGTGCAGAGGTCAAGCTGCAGGCTCGTTTATAGGAGTTTTGGTTAGGGTTTAGGGTTTAGGGTTTAGGGTTTTAGGGTTTAGGGTTCAGGGGCTGGGGGGGTTTAAGACCCAGGGAGCCTAATACCCCTTCGTTCAGGAGTGTTCCTTAAACCATACGAGGGATCCTGGTATCGTGTGGTTGATGTTTGGTTTGGGGTTTACGGGCTTTGGCTGTAGGAATTTAGATTTGATTTAGGGCTTCGGGCTCAGGCTTGGGGGTGCAGGGGTGGATGATTGTTGGGATTCCTTCAACTTTCAAGTCTTGGATCTATGGTGGGGGGACCGCACATTGTTGATGGACAAACCTAACATGACCATTACCTTACTATGTGTCCATAATTCCGGTGGCTTGGGTAAGTAGGGCCATACATGATTTAGTTCATCAACCGCATCATTGGGTTTTGCTTCTGCTTGCTGTTCAGGCTGTTCGCGACATTTTGTAAAAACTCATCTAGGCTGTTTGGATGGCACGACGATAGTCCCGATCATTACGCGTGCAAGAAGGTTTTTCAGGAATTGCCTCCAGAGAATTTAGTTGCCATTATGGGTGACACTAGTGTCTCGTGATATACCTACCTCGTGAAGGACTTGATTCCAGGGACCTTTAGGAGTTCAGCCATTGGGATTGATTGCCCTCTTCACTCATTGAGTGCCACCGGTTGTGAGTATTCCTGTTAACCCTGAACTCGGGCAGTTCGACCCAGACTTGGAGGGGCATGGATAGTTCTAGCCTGCTTTTACTTGTAGGTATAGCTCCTTTACGAGTCCCCGAAATATGGGCGCACTGGGGCCATGATCACAGTTATGCGTATGCTACATTCAAACCACAGCCCTAAGCAGGTCATAAGTCCTAAGCCCTAAACCCTCTAAACCCTAAACCCGAAACCCTAAACCCTAAACCCTAAACCCTAAACCCTAAACCCTAAATCCAATTAACCGGCCCTTCCAAGTACGACCTTAGACGCCATCCTGCCCAGGGGCAGATGATGGTCTTTGGTGGCCTTGGAGGCCTAAGCGGAGTCAGAGAGAACCAGGGACTATATGGGGGATATATAGGGATTATATAGGGTAATATACTCAGAGGCCAGTGTTTATGTAGAGGACTTGTAGCTTTTGCTTGTGGTCATCTATCTGTGCTGGAGGGTTCAGGAGCTTGAGTTTAGGGGCTGCGCTGCTTGGTTCCAGGTTTTGGATCTCCTGAAGCGCGACTAGAGCTTAAGGCTTTAGAGAATTTGAGGAAGAGCCCCGCTAAGCAGGGCCTGAACGTCAAACCGTCATCTGCGGAAAAAAAATCTGCATGCAGCAGATCTGGGACCACATAGGACCCCCGTGATTCCAAAACTCAGGCACTTGGGCTCCAAACATGGTTTAGGGTTTGGCTCCCCAAGCTTTCAAGGATCTGATCTCTTGTCTCTAAGTTAAGTATCTGATCTCTTGTCTCCAAGCCTACCCTGATACTTTGAACTCCGGGAAGCTGTGTAAACCCTAAAGTCCAAATCCCAGATTCCAACAGACAACTCCAACACGCAAACTCAAAATCCACATCTCTACGCCTCTACGTCCACCCTTACACCCTAAAAGCTGGCCCTGAAACTCTTAACCCTGAAGCTAAATGGTAAACCAAAAGATCCCAAACTCTTCCTGTACATTTCTGCATTCATATATACCCCCATATACCACCTCTACAACCCCTTCCGAAGGCCCATGAACGACTATCCAATTTTTTGACCTCAGTTTTGTTTCCTGTTCCACATTAAGTCCCGTTTGGTTCTCCATTAGTAATCTTAAGGCCCCAAGACCGAAAGCCACATAAGTCTTCCTTGACCCCCTGAAGCACGGTATAGCTTCAGATTTGTTTCATTTTCCATGTGCATTTCCATCCGAATCTCAATTCTTTTCCCTAAATCCGATTTATCTTTTTGTCTTCTTGTATGCCCATGTACCCCCATACCTCTCTATGTATCTCTATAGCCCCTTAAAAAAGGGGACCTACATCCCTGGTCCATCCCTAGCCTATAAAGGTTTACTGAGAATTAAGCCCTTACAACTTCAGTTCCCATTCCAGGATTCCATTGTCCATTTTCTTTTCCATAGTTATCCTTATGGCCTATGTATCCCCGTACATCCTGTCCATGTGACACTCATGTATCCATACAGGCACCTGTGTATCACTATGCATCCCTATGTATCCTTATAGCCTAAGGGCACTATACAACCTCAGTTTCCAGTTCATGTCCATTTTGTTTCCCACCTGATTCTGCATTATTGGGGCAATGCTCCCTTGAACCCGACATAACCCCCCATAGAGCATAGATAACCCTTTATAAACCCCATATCATCCTACATATCCCTCTAAGCCCTAAACCCTCAATCCTAGACCCTAAACCCAAAGCCTTTCTTCTGTCACGTCCCTCCCTGCGTGCGCATGCAATGGCAATGCAGCCACCGCCTGAGCCAAGCGATGAAGAACTCTTGGGGCGAATCCTCAGCCTCACAGAACGGAGCGCAGGGTTGCTGCGTCAGCTGCTGGCAAGGGCCCGTGCTAAAACCCCGGCGCCCGTCACCCAGACAACTGCAAAGCAGAATGCTGTTGCTACGCCCCCTTCGAAGGCGATCCCACCACCACTGGAACGTGGAAGCCTGAATACTTACAAACTCCTTGATTTCCAAATCTGCAAAACTCTAACTCCTAAACCCTAACTCCTAAACCGCAACCCTACACCCTAACTCCTAAACCCTTAACCCTAACTTCCAAATCCGAAGGACTAAATCCTAAACCCTACCTAACTCCTAAATGCTAAGGCCTAAACACGAAACCCTTCGCCCCCCCCCACCCGCCCTAACTCCTAAGCCCTAAAGCCAAAGTCTAGCGGGCCCAAACCCCTTGGCACCATGGGCCCGTGACCTTTGGAGGAGTTATATGAGCCATCAACGTTTTGAGTTTAGGGCTTAGGGTTTGCAACGTTCAGGGTTTGGCGTGAGTTTGGGGTCCAGGGACACATTGGACTACTGTTGAACATTTTTCGGTATACTCCTTCTTGGGCTGAAGCATATCACACGAAGAGATTAAGGCAAACACCACTTTGAACCAGCGCGACAAATCCTGTTGAATCTGTCTTCAAGACAGCTTCGCTCCCAAAGGGAACATAGGGAACATAGGGTTGAGATAGGATTATCTAGAAATTGTATAGCGGTAACATAGGGATTATGTTCTCTTCTATAGGGAGTATATGAGGATTACATCCACTAGAAACCTCAAAGCCCACCCTCTAAATCCTGAAGAAAACTCCTAATAGACCCTACAACCTCGTACCTTAATATCCCGGTTAAGACACAATCCCGTATATTCCATTCCACCATTGTACCAGTGCTGTTGTATGGATTAGACACCCTCTCGTTGGAGTCACGTCATTTCAAGTCCATAGAGGGATGGTATTTTAGGTATCTGAGAAGAGCCATAGGTATAAAAGCCTCCTACTATTCCCGCATCGGCAATCAAAGAGTTTGGCATTTCGCTTTTAAACCCATAATAGCCTCCCATCCTCCAACAACAATTCCAGCTCTTAAACAAATCACTGGCTACACCGCCTAACGACTCTTTCCACCATGTAATCTACGGTTCAGGGTATAAAGACAGGGTCAAGTGCACCAAGAAATATAAGAGGGGACACCCAGGACATTGTTGGTTTGAATTAGTTTCACAAGAAGCTGGCCAGTTTACAAATCACACCCTCAACGACCCCACCCGCAGAACCGACTTCCTCGGATATAAACAAGCGGTTATGAGTAACCCGCGACACCAAAAACACCTGGAGTTTGTGCCGACGCGCCAGCCGAAAATGTCTAAGATTTCCCAAGAGAGTGTTGGGAGCGCATGGCAACTGTAAAAACCCAAAGCCCCTCAAAAGCAGTTAGCGCAGGTCTCAGCTCCGCGGCGGCAGCATCCTTCGCGCTCCAGGGGGCGCCAGCGGAGCGCTCCGTGGAGGTTGCTGAGCTCCCTGGGCCTGAAGCCTATGGGGATAGTGGAAAATAAAATGGAAACGATTGTATAAAAGGGTAGAATATAGTATATGGGGGTTATATAGGCATAAGGGTTGGAGGTTTAGAGAGTTTTTTTTTGTGGTGGGACTTGGGAATGGAGAATCAAATGGAAAAGAAATTGGAAAATGAAATAGGAACCCTAAGTCCCTTAAAGGGGGTATATAGGGTTATAAAGGGTTAGGTTCTAGTGGAGTTATATAGGGATAATGGAAAATACAATGGAGACTACTATTCAGGGTTTAGGAATTGGGGATTGGGGTTTGAAAGTTAGGGATTAGGGGTTTAGGGATTAGGGGTTGGGGTTTAGGGATTGGAGTCTTGGCTTGAGGGGGAGCGTGTTGGGTTCATGGTTTCTGGATTACTTGAAGGTTCAGGGACTTCGTATCTATTCACAACTTGTCCAATAACCGTCTTCATAATCGCCCTAACTGGACTTACGCAGGTTACCCCAATTCTGAGTCAGGCGATAACCCCAGTTACAAGCAGTTACTACGTCCCATGAACCTCTAAGTAGGATACAGGGATGAAGATTTCAGAGCTCTTAGGCCTGTGGCTGGAGGATGCGACGGTTGCCTGGTAGGTAAAAGGGATGAATGGTTCGGGTTCATGGTGGTTCAGTCTAAAGGGGCTTCTAAGTATCAAAAAGAATGCCTGTGCGTTCTACATAGCGGGTGCAGTCTATCAAGGTGTTTCATGGGGTACCGTCAAAGCGTTTAGCCTTGCGCCCTCAGTCCGAAAGTTCTGCCACACTGTTGAAGTCCCGGTCGTGCAGCTCTCCCCTCTTTGCCCACCCAAGGTTCCTCGACTTCCTGAACGGAGGCGCTGGCTCGACCAAACAGTGCCTGGGTTGCGAACCTTGCCGCTTCTTGATTTACCGATATTGTTTCATTGGCGCTTTCCTTCCTCTGCAATTGCTGCTCATCCTCACTATTGCTCCTTTTTCCATTCTTACTGTTGTTCTTCTTATACATACCATTACCGCTAACCACTAACCACTACCACTACCACTACCACTAACTACTACTATTACCACTGCTGCTGCTATTGCTTCTGATTCTGCTTCTACTTCATTTTCTACTTCCACCTCTACTTCCACTTCTACTTCCATTGTTACTCCTACTTATACTTCTACGTCTACTTCTGCTGCTCCTGCTCCTACTGCCGTGGCTGCCGCTTTGGCCGCTGCCATCTCTAGTACTGAAGTGCTATTGTCTTGAAAGTAATTTCATTGTTGTAGTTTCATTGAAAGGAGCACAGCATCTTGTTTTGTTCAGAAACAAATGTCCGAGCCTAGAGTACTGTGGTGAAGCCGGCGTTTGCTCGTGCTTTAGGGTTTTTTTCGTACGGGGTCTAGGGTTCAGAGTCTGGAGTGTGGGGCTTCTGGGAGTAGGGCTGATTGTTGAATGGCTCTTCGGGGTCGTTCCAAAGATTCCGTTGAATGAGGGGCCATTGGGAAAACGCTCCCAAGACTTGAGATCCTAGTCAAAAAGGGAGTTTACCTCGTGACAATGTACTTGTGGGAAGGAGTATTTTTGAACAACCATTATCTACGTTCAGCACAGGCTGTAACAAGCGTGCCGTCAGGCCTAAGACAGGCAGGACGCACACCCATGACGTTCCATCCTTTCCCTGTAGAAACCTTTTGCATACCTTAGACGCCTCCAGGACCCCCAAAACGGACCTCTCCGAGCTTTGCAAAGCATTGTGGTCTCAACCCAGAAGGAACCCGCAAAAGCCCAAACTCTAGTTTTGATGAGCTTACCCGGCTCAGGTGGGACGTAGCCCTTAGCCGGGGCGTACGGTCTGGCGACTGGTCCGAGGGCTTCCAGGTGCGGTGCAACGGTTAGAAGGGGAGCATGTGGTGATTCTTCAGGCTTCTACAGCACCACATTGGGATTTTTCTGGTGGCTAAACCGTGCCCAACACTGCTAAACTATTTGTTCTCAACAGTTTTAGACGCTCCAACTGCATCATTCTAGCAGACCCCCACGGCCCCGCTTATCATGTGATTTGTGTGACTTCAAAGATAGAATTGGTAATTTCCCTAAATAGGGGAACCCCAAAAAAGATCCCAAAATACTATACTCCTTATTATGGAGACGCTCAAAAAGGTACCCCTATTGAGAACCCCCTAAAGCTTAAACCCTATGCATCCCCAGAATATCCCTATATAGCCCCTCTAAACCCCAAACCCCTTTAAAGGTACCTCTAACTTTGGGAAAACTCCCAATTTAGGTCCAGCAAATCAAAGGCTCGCGGCCACTCAAGGGTTTAGTTTTTAGGGTTTAGGGTTTAGGTATACAGTCCCCCTTAAGTAGATAGAATATGGTTTTATAATAAGATCCCCATATACCCCATATTCTATCTACTTAAGGGGGACTATATATCTCGCACACGGTTTCTCAGACGAATCCGCCGCATACGTACTTGAGTACTAGGTGTGAAGCACCTTTTAGACAGGTGCCAGCCTTTCTGTTTTTTGCAGACTGCGCCAACCCTGTCTCACAAAACCGCAACTAATTGTCTCGAGTTTCAGAGTGCGGGAGTTTGTGTGATTTGGGTAGGGGCACTGGGTGGAACACGGACTACACTCCTCCCAACAAAAAAGCAAGCTGATATAGTCTCGATTCAAAAAGGCAGCAGTCTTTATAGAGCGCCCTTTTTGGGTGGAGATGTTAGTTTTGTGGAACGTAGGGTTCAGGTTTTGGAGTCAGGATTCAATTTCGGTGTCTAGCAAGGTGATGCAAAAGATTGTGCTGGGCCACTATGCCCGACGTCGTGCTTCCGGCAGCTTGCCACGTTAAAGCATGGGCACAGGCGTTGGGCCCGTGGATTCCTAGATCACTTCTGGGGAATGGGAGAGCAAATATCTGTACCTTTGATACTTCTCCAACATTCCTTTGCTTCAGCCCCTTTCCTTATTGAGTACATGGGAGCCAGCTCAAACCTTGACACAAAGGAAGAAGGCCGTATATTGTAGAATCATCCATGGTGGTCTCAAATCTCATCATGAGAGCTATTATAGTCTGAACTCCTTCACGCGGGGCTATATGGGGTATTATATGGAGGAGTATTAGAGGGGTTATAAAGCAGGATGCAGGGGGTTTAGACAATCGCTCATGTAGTTCTAGATGCCGTAAGAACCGATCAAGCGATTGACTTCAGGGAGTATATTAGGCGTATTGAAGGATAATGGAGAAGAAAATGGACACTACTACAGTAGAATGGGGTATATATTGGGGTTATAGTAGGGATGAAGCCCTAAACCCTAAACCGTCTGGCCAGCAGGTGTCGCATGCGGTGGTTGACGCCATCTACGCCGCGGACCTTGCAGGCAAGCTGGGACTCAGCCGTCTGGCCCAGAACCAGCGCCTTGCCAGATAGGGCTTAGGGTTTTTAGGGTTTAGGGTTTGAGGGTTTAGGGTTCAGGGTTTAGGGTTTAGGTTTTAGAGTTTTTTGGCAAGTCATTTCAATCCTTCGAAGCGGAACATGATTGGCATCTTGGATTCTAAGTGGCGGGCTGCTTGTGTATGGCGGAAAGTGCTTTGTTCAGATTCGTCTCTTTGGACCGCCGATTCTCAACGTTCTTGCGCTTGGTGTGTGGATGGCCGCTTCCGCTCCGGGCATTCGTTTGGCTTCGGCTAAAGGTTGAAAGATCCGCAGTGGCGTGCTGTGATTGTAGGGCATGATGCAAACACAAGAACGTTTCAAAGTCTGTGCGGTGCGGTTGCAAGTAGGTCCCAAACCTTTCTCCCTCATCTCTAAAGCCTAAGCTTTGAACCGTAAAGACCCTAAGCCGTTTTCCCCTGGGCTGTACTGTCCACCCCTCAAAAAAGGGACTTCCATCCCGCTGGGTTCACCTCAGCCAGAAATTGAACATGATCGGCTGCTGGTAACATTTCCGGATATCCAGACAAGCTTCACGTCATGAGTTTTGCTGATTATATTCTCTGCAATTTCCAAAGACCGAGAGAACAAGGTCTTGTGTTTTGAGATCATTCATGATTAGCCCCTAAAGTCCCGAAAGCATATGGTAGTTGTTCAAGCTACCTGTCCCCCAAATGGCCATAATGTAGGTTCCACAATGGTCTCTTCTTTGCAAGGACCTTTAGAACAACCCGCATATACCTTGTGAATCAAGGTAGAAGATTTCAAGTCTCCAACCCTCCGAAACAAAACCCTAAACCCCAAGCCCTAAAAGCCCTAGCTTGAACGGCAGACGTCTTTTGACTTCTGACGTAAATCTCGTCTCTAACTACGTAGTCCCTTTCTGTTTTGCGTATTCCTTGCCCTCTTTTGGTTATCCTGCGCTTGTTTCCCCTAACCCTACGTGACAAACCTTACAACCTAAACCAGAAACCTTACACCCCAAGCCCCGAAACCCCCAAGCCGTAAACCTTAAAACCTTCAGCCTCAACCCTACCCCCAAACCCTTATACTCTTAAACAAGCCCCCAAAACTAATCCCTTAAGTCTCAGCCCCAGCCCTTAAACCTTGCACCATTAAAGAACATGCTCCTATATGAACGCAGTTTCCACTTGATGTCTCAGTTGGTTTGCCGATCGATTCTCCATTGCTAGGCCCCAAAACCCCTCCGAGTAGTTCCACTAGATTTTCCATGCGACTTTCCACTTGATTCCCTGTTATTAAGCTCCTTGGGACTTAGCTTGGACCTTCGACCCTTAACCCTTTGGGATTCCCTTATTTTCCTATTATAGGTGATTGAGGGTTAGCCCTTAGTAGGGGTCCTAAGTGCCAAGTTAGGTGGACCCCCCACCCAGTAATAGTGACTATTATGGATAATAGGGATTATATTAGGGTCCTCTCATAATATTCCTATTATACCACTATTACAGGGTGGGGGGTTCTCCTAAAATATCCCTAAGTCTAGGCCAGACCAAGGTTGATTCTTAGCGCTGCCGGTTTGGCTTTCCTAGCCGCTAAAGAGGCGACCCCTCCTTGCGGCCATGCTTGTAGATTTTTATTGTTTCGGAGCCATGCTGTTAAAGTTTAGGGTTCAGGGACCATTCTTCGGATTTAAGGTTTAGGGTGTAGGTGTTTGGGTTGCGGCATTTAGGATTTAAGGTTGAGGCTGCAGGGTACGTGTAGTGTGGGGTAACCCTAGTTCCTACATTTTTTTTGGGGGCTGGGCGTCCAGCTGCATGAGTTGGCGGAGGGTGGGCTTTCATGTGAGCTATAGTGTAAACTCCTTAAAGGGGGTTACATAGGGGATTATATAGGGTACTACTATACTGGTTTTTAATGGGGTACTAGGAGTTTAGACAATGGCTCACGTGTTTACGATTTCGGTTTCGCGAGCTGGATGCATGGCTTTGGGGTCTTACTGTGGATGGAGGACATCTGATAAAGCCTAATACACCTTGCACCCCAGTAGTTACAATGTTTTTAGATTCCTAGTTCCTAGGTTGTGCAAGATTTCCTCCCTCCTCGGTAGTTATTCGTGTTGAAGGTTTACACTTTGGAGGCTTCAGAGGTTTTGTCATACAGCGGTAGTCCCCCCACGGGAATCCTGTTGCTCTGGGGCTAACACTGTCGGTCTATGTGAGGATGTTCCCATTTTTGAGAGATCATTTGGACAGCTTCTGCGCGGATTGCCGTGAGAACTCTCGGCGGCAAGTGGTGGTTTCCCAAAATGGGGAGCCCCAATATAGACCCCAAAATACTATAATCCTTGTTATGCGGATCCTTAAAAGGGTACCCCTCGTTTCGGGAAACCCCCGAGTGATTTCTAGTTTTAGTTCATCCTTCATAGTGTTGTCACCTACTCAGTCAAACTGGAGGCTGTTTCCCCACTCCCAGACACGCATCCTAGCATGAAGTTGTCAAAGCCCACCGAAGCCCTATATCCTCAAGCAAGGACCCTAAAACTTGTGCCGTCCGGAAGCCTATGGTGAGAGCCAGGAGCCTTCACCAGTGTTCAGTAGTACTGAAGATAGGAGTATTCTAGCCCGTCCACATAGATTTATTCAGCTTTCTTTTTTGGCTATGTTCATTTTTGCAAGTGGGCGAAAAGCTTGCTGGCTTCCACCGCCAAACCTTGAGCCGTAAGCCGTAAACCCTGCAAAAAGATGCGAGCTCTCATTGAATCAACTCACTACCGCCCCTTGTTTAGGTCACCCAAGTTTGTTGTAAGGTGATGCGTTTTAAATTGCTACTATGCTCACGAAGCGCCATGAAGCTCTGGAAGAGGAGAGCCGCCTGGCCACACAAGCGCTCCTGAAGGAGTGGTTCGGTGGCAGGGCCTCATATGAGCCATTGTCTAAACTCCTTAAAGGGGGATTATATAGGGGATTATATAGGGGACTACTATACGGGTTTTTAATGGGGATACTAGGAGTTTAGACTATGGCCCATATTGTTGGAGCAGCTGTTAAGGTCCATGTGTTTGAGTGTTGAGGCCCTCGAGGCATCTTGGCTGTGTGTTTTAGGTTTAAGGTTACATACATGCTTTAGGGCTCTTGACTTTTTGGAGGTACGTCCCAGGCCGCTCTTCTTTGGAATTGAACCTCAGGGGTGGCTGCATGCTTGCCTTGCGGGGTTCTGGCAAAGGTGATCCAGGAAAGTCTATGGGTGGCTGTCAAAATTATGGTCCCTTTTTGGATCCCTATTATCATACGACACCTAATATTAGGGTACCCCAAAAAAGGATCATAATTTTGACAACCACCCATATAGGGTTCTTAAGGTCGCCACTGCTATGCACTCCAGACCCGAAAACCTTACCCCTGATCCCAAAACCTAAACCTTGAACCATGAATTTGAACACCCTAAGCCCTGTTGGGAGCACTGCCCATATTCACAGGGTCCC